TCCTCGAGTTCCCGGGTGTGTGTCTGTGTCTGTGTCTCGCGGCGCTACGCCGCCGTGGTCAAGCGCCTGGGGGGTCCGCGTCTGAAGCGTCACCTCTGTCACTGCTGCCACCATACCGAGTCACTTCTAGAGGGACGGAGGCCCGGCCCTTCGCCGGGTGGAGAAGATGTTGCCCCTGTCCATCAAGGATGATGAGTACAAACCACCCAAATTCAATCTGTTTGGCAAGATCTCAGGCTGGTTTAGGTGCGGGCTGCTGTGTCTGCTGGGAGGGGGCTGCCCGGCAGGAGACAAAGCCGGGAGCTAAGGGTGGTCTGAGGTCCAGGGGGGAGCGTCACCCTCCTGCTGGGGTGGAAGGAGCATGTGGACTGGGTGGGTCTTGAAATGGGGGACTCGATTTTAGGGTCCCGGCACCCCCTGGGCTCCTGCCTGCTTCTAATCACCCCTATCGTGCTCAGGTCCATCCTGTCGGACAAGACATCTCGGAACCTGTTTTTCTTCCTGTGCCTGAACCTCTCTTTCGCTTTTGTGGAACTACTCTACGGCATCTGGAGCAACTGGTAACCAAAGGGGAAGATGATTGGGGCGGAAGCTGAGGGTGAGGGAAACTAGCCACTATTTGCTTAGTGCCACGTAGCTCCTTACCGGTTCAGGTTTTACCTTTGTCAGTACCACTTCTGCTGAGTTGCTCTCTCCTACCTTCATCAACGCAGAAGGGAAGGGATGCTTTTCTAAGATCAGGGTCCATAAAGTACAGCCTCTTTGACTTCCTGCAACTCCATCAAAATCAGACAGCACTGACAGGCCCCCCCCCCCCCCCTTTTTTTTTTTTTTTTTTTTTTTTAATTCTTCTCCCAATTAAAATGAATCTCTTCTCGAACTGCTTGCCTTGGCTTTGCCTCAGAAAAACTGGGAGGATCCTGTTAGCTAACCTCTCAGTGGGTGTGTGTTTTTTTGTTTTTTGTTTTTTATTTTACCCTTATGATTGTGAGAGAGGAGGTCTGAGCTATCCTGTTGAAATTATGATTGTCTTGGAGTGGCTTTTGAAGAGGTTTGTGAAGAGACCTTTGGCAAAGCATATGCCATTCTCTTTTACGGTGAACCTGTCTCATTATATGTTCTCTTATCTTCACTGCAGTAGAAAATTCCCACACAATTTTCTGAAAGTGCCTCTTGATCTGATGGCTTTTGGTGTCGCCTTTGGGTTTTTTGTTTGTTTCTGGTTTCTGTTGTAGTGATTTGGGTAGAGGAGAGTTCAGTGTGACTAAGGAAATAAAGTCACTAGTATTTAAGTATTCCTATGGGCTAACTTCTGGGCTTGTGAAATTGCTTTGCAAATAACACTGTCAGCACACTTCTCAAGTGTACTAACTCCATCTGTAGGTTTTATTCCCCTTTAAGAATCTGCTGAGAGAGGGGCTAGAGTTAAGAGTGCTTGCCGTTCTTGTGGAGGATCAGAGTTTAGCTCTCAGCACCATATCTGACTGTAACTCCATCTTCAAGGGATCTGACACCCTCTTCTGAACTCCACAGGCAGCCCCCCCCCAACACACACACACACACACACACACACACAAACACTAAGGAGGATCTCTGGGTGTTTGAGGCCACCCTTGTCTACATAATTCCAGGATAGCCTAGGCTAAGAGACTCTGTCTCAGAAAACGAAAAGCAAAAACAAAAACAAAAACAATCTCCCCAAACAAAGCAAAACCACCAATAAGTAGTAGATTATATTGCTTGGAGCACAAAAGTCAAATTGACACTATTAAATCTTGATGTATTTGATAACCATTTTGATTCCCCTGAGAATTGTCTGTATATTTTGAGCTATACCCCAAACAGATTTTTTGAATCTCATAAAGTTTGTGCCCTTCAATATATCATAAATACAGAAAGCACTATAATCTTAACTTGTATGTGAATATAATACTTTAATAATATATGCTATTTATAATATACTTTACATTTTCCTGTATCTGAACTATGTCATAATTTTGGCATATGTGCTGCTTATTCTATGACTACATTATAGCGTATATCACACATTTTTCTAGTTACTCTATATTGCTACATACTGTATTTCATTATGACCTTTCATTGGCATAAATCTCTTCCTGGAATACCTTGTTCTAGAAATTCATATCTGAAGTGTCCCAGCCACCTATTTCATGGGAAGCTGGGTGTACAGTACTTTTCTGATCTGTAGGGATCAGTTGAAGTACGAAAGCCATTATTGCCCAACCTGTTTGTTAGTGTATGTCATTGCACATGGAAAATACTGGTGGTACATGACTTTTTATATGTCCGTAGGTGGTTTGCTCTTCTGATTTTGGGTAACATTCCACTGTCCTCCAGTGACTTGTTGTTCTGTACCCTAATTGTTTATTCTCTCATTGTGTTGTTAAATCCTTCAGGTTTGACATGCAGCTTTGTTGCTTGTCTTGCTGCAGTCATTTATCTTGTACCTATGTATATCAAGCTCCATAGTTGCTTATTCCCCAATTTCGATTTGTGTCAGTGGACATGAAACAAATCATTTGGTGCTGGAGAGGATTTAGAAATTTGTGGAGGCTTGTGGTGTGGTTTAGTGGTATAGTTCTTACCTACCATGTAGTAGGCCCTAGATTCAGTCCCCAGCACTGCCAAATACATACATACACACAGACACAGACACACACACACACACACACACACACAGAGAGAGAGAGAGAGAGAGAGAGAGAGAGAGATTGAGAGAGAGCTCTAAGCCTATAATTCCAGTATTTTGAAAGTGGAGGCAGGAAGATCAGAAGTTAAATATCATCTTCAGCTACATACTAAATTGTTGAGAGCCAGAGCCTACTTTCAAGAGAGAGAGAAGGAGAGAGAGAGAGAGAGAGAGAGAGAGAGAGAGAGAGAGAGAGAGAGAATTTTGTTTTTAACTTAGATCTTTTCATAATCTGTCTTCCTATGATATTTGGGCACTGAATCTTTCAGTTTTTTTTTTTTTTTATTTTTGACTGGTCATAAGTTTCAGGGGGGCTGGGTATGGCTCAGAGGTTAAGAGCATTGACTGTTCTTCCAGAAGTCCTGAGTTCAATTACCAGCAACCACATGGTGGCTCACAACCATCTGTAATGAGATCTGGCATGTAGGCAAACATGCAGACAGAATAACATATACATAATAAATAAATAAATCTTTAAAAAAATACATATTTCAGGTTGTTGAACCTGAAAGATCAAAAAGTTGTTTTTCCCAATGTAGAGGATTAAAGCATGGACATGTGTTATGGTGCCATAGTCAGGCATCTTGGCACTTGGCACAGTGTAGTGGCTTATTTTGTATTTGCTGAATGAAAGAATGAGTGGTGGAATGTATGAATTTATCTGTCTATACTGATAACTGTTCTGTCAGGGGAAAGACAAACACTAGAAAGCAAAAGTCGAGCTCCTTTGGTTCTTAGAAGTTGGGAGGAAGATGTAGGACTACTATCCATGTTTTTTATTTCCTTCAAGTATGTTTTTCTTTCTGATACTTTCTCTTTTTTTCTTCCTGTTATTGAAAATAGTTTTTTTTTGTTTCTCACATAATATATCCTGATTGTGGTTCCCCTCCCTCTACTCTTCTCAATTTCTCCCTAACTCCTGTCCCATCCAGATCCACACCCTTGATGTCTCTCATTGGAAAACAAATGGGCTTCTAAGGGATAATACTGAAATAAAAAATAAGATAAAACAGAACCCAACCCCTTGGAATTGAACAAACCAAACACACAAGGAAAAAAGCCCAAGGGAAGACACAAGAATCAGACACCCACTCATTCATTCTCACAGGAATCCCATAAAAACATTAAACTGGAAGCCATAATATATACACAGAGGACATGTGCATTTCACATTAATTTTCACATTAATTTTCATTTATTGTTGAGTAACTACATAATCTCAATAAAAGAAGTTTTGTACTATCAAGGATTTTTTTCTAAGTTACAGAAAAAAAAAGCAAAGCCAATAATTGTTTAAACAGACAGTACCTTTTTCCGCAGATGGTTGGCATAGTTCCACCTCTCCCTTGTATCAGAATGCCCAAGCCATAGACGGAACAAGGAAAAAATTGTACATAGAGTCCTCTAAGATGTATCTGGATGCTAATGCTTGCCCTCATACTTTTATCACATGGTCATGCCTAGAAGCAATGTGGTGTATGCCTCGAAACCGTGTAGATTGATACAAGCCGCGGCTTTGTACTGAGGAAGAAAGAGCATATGTACTGGAGAAACAGACCAACCCACTTAACATAGAAAGTCAAAGTGCAGTGTTTGTGTTTTCTTCTTTCAAATGTCCCGCAAGGCCTCCAGCTCCTTTTATCTGGGTTTTATGCTGATTTCTGCCCCCAAATATTCTAGAATACCACTGTGTTTGGCTTTATGCATTTTCATGTTTTTCTGCAATGCATTTACTTCACCATCTATTTAAAAACTTAATTTCAATTATATCATACACTGAATGTGTTGAAAATAGTTTCACTGAGACCAGCGGTTCTCAACTTGTGGGTTACGACCGACCCCTTCGGCAAACTTTTATTTCAAAAATATTTGCATTAGATTCATAACAGTAGCAAAATTACAGTTATGAAGTAGTGACAGAATAATTTTATGGTTGGGGGTCAGAACAATGAGGAAGGGTCACAGCATTAGGAAGGTTGAGAACCCCTTGCCTTAGACACTGAAAAAACTTCTGAAACAGACTGAAAAGGTTGATGCTTCTGTTTTGATAAACATTTGTTCTAGAAATGCTAACAGCTATATTGGAGGTTTTTATGTAATGTGTATAGAAGATGTTTGTTAAGTGATTCCTTGGTGAAAAGTGCTCTCATTAATCACATATTTTTCTATTACATTAAAATTTAAAAATGTTTTAGTCTTTTATCAAGTTTTCCCTTTTTGTATGACAGCTCATCAGCTGTGGTGGAGCCCTTTGCCTTCTAGAATTTTTTCACTTTAAAAACTTAGATAAGTATTTCATTTTGATGAACATTAAGTATCAGAGAATGGCATGGAGTTGTAAGTTACTTAACTACAGTTCATTAGTTTATTAACTTTACTATTGTCATAATCCTAATAGTTTTCTTTTTTGTTCTTCAAATGTGTTTGTATGTGATTATTTTTGTGTGCATGCATGTATGTCAGTGTTCCTGAGAAGGGCACAAGTTGAACTCAGCAGCGTCCTAAATCACTTTCCACCTTAGTCTTTGAGACTGATTGATCCCCAACCTAGTTTTCTAATTTGTGATAATAAATTTATACTTAACCCTCTTATTCCACATTATGGAAGTCAGCTGGACAGGGGTTTGTAATTATAATGATCCCCTGTCTTCAACTGTGAATTAATATTTAACAACCACTGTGAGTACACTGTTAGCCCAGAGACCTTTTAAGAAACTTTTCAGAATGGAAAATCTGAACCATGTGTAAATGGTATAATGGACACCATGTACCACCCATCTTTACAACCCTTTTCACCCATTGTGGTGCCCCTGTCCCCCAGCTGGATTGACTTAAACAGATACAAGATCC